GGGAGGAGGTGCCTTTCCAGAGGAGGGACCCGGTCACGAAGACTCTGCACGTCTGGGCCCTCATCGGCGCTGCAGTCAGAGAGTACAGTTAGCCATCTTCTTGCTAAGAGATGGGAGTAAGTCATTGAAATCACAGTGCCTTGAAAATGACCTCATTAGTAGAAGGAATCGGGGACTGGAGCGGCATAAGTGTGAAATACTTCTAATACAGATTTATTAATTTTTTTTTATATCGTAATCTTGTATAATGCTTGCAAAGTGGTGAGGGAGATTATGTTGAATTCTGAATGGAATCAGATGTGACCCAGCAAATTTACCGCAATTCATCTTTTGATGAATATGCATAAGCTAGAAGCTATGCGGTGGTCAAGTACAAGAAGTCTTGAAACATGGAAAGCCTCTTTTGGGTCTTAGTATTTGCTTGGCATGACAAGAGTAACCCAACAGCTCCCCAAATGAATAGCTTGTTACAGCTGTTCATTATATTTGTGACAGCAGGGTGGTTAGCATATCACATAAGACAAGATAATGTGACGCAAGGGAATGTCGTGCTCAGCACAGAAGATCCAGAAATCTGCTGGTGCAATCTGCTTTCCTGTCTGCTGCAAACTTAGTGCCTGTCTTTGGGAACTCATCAAGGACAATCTTCAAGGGGGAAAAAATAGCATAGATGTGCTATGACCCTAACAGAATTTAAGTGCTAGACATTTTTTATGTATTTTACATAGCACAACCATCAGGTAAAATATATAAGCAATCTTTGGAGCTGGGGGAACTCCCCTGTCCTTGCCTGTGTTTACTTCAGTGCAGTAGGTAAGGAACAGTAGGTGAAACTTACAGAACGAAACACACAGTGCTGGGGACCCAGTACGCTCACAACACATTTTCGGACTTCTCCTTTGAACTACTGCTCACCTCTACGTAGCATCCTGATGTCTGAACTCTGTGCTTTCTTTGCCACAGTATCAACCATTAAGCTGGAAAGCCATGCTCACTCCTGCTGCTGCTCTGACCCAGTCACTCTGGAGTGTTTTGCTGCAAAGTAGAAAACTTCAAATGGAGAAAATCTCCTCATGCAGAGCTGCTCCCAGTTTGGGAGCTCAGATGCTCTGTAGGGCAGCAGGGTCGTACCTTCTGGGGCTGAGGAGGGAACCAGGCGTGGATCTACCGTGTCCTGAGCAATTTCTCTTACAACAGCATCATAGATGAAAAGAAGGGCGCTAGCATGGCCATAAGTCTCTGCCTTCAGCAAAAAAACACTGTTTAAGCAAAAGGTTCACACTAGCTTTCTGGTAGGTGGATCTTAAGTGAGTAGCTCACTGTAGGCATTTCCTTGATAACTGGCTTTAGGTCCTCCAGAGGCACTTATCTCTTCCATGTACCCTGCAGGGGAGGTGGACTGCAGACAGATTCCACTGGATCTTTCCTGTCCGAGCATTTGGTAACAGTGTTGGGGTGCCTAAATACATTTTTGGGTCATACATCAGCCTCAGATTACAGAAGCGTTGCCAAAAGTGGAGGTAGAACGTACTGCAGAGGCATTTTAAATACTGATTAGTGCCTTTAAAAGGTACGATACTCTGATTTGAAAGGAATTGCAGGTAAACAAAGGTTTTACTATCATAATTTCTGGCACTATAACACTGTTTAGCTCTAGTCTGAAAATAAAAAGATGGTAAATTCCGTAAAAATTTAGAACTCAGGACAAAGACAACAAACATCTTAAGTGGAAGCCCAGAGGAAAAGAGTGACAGAATATTGATCTATAGGATGTTGTCATTTATTGGATGGTGTTTAAAAGCCTGGATTGACTTGATAGCTTCGTTAAAAGGACCTGACATTGCAGTTTAGTTGTTATTTACTTTATTGCAACTTTTTGAAAACTACCATCTTAAAGATGTCTCATAATCTGTGTCCTCAGTAGTCATTGAGACAGTGTTTTTCATGAAAGCAGTTTGTCATTTTGGTACTTTTGATTATGAGATAATGTGAAGTCGTCAAGGTATAAATACTAACCATTAGATTCTGTTGTTAAATCGGCATTCGAGCAGTTTGAAAATTAGTGTGCAACTTCATATTGGACTCCCAGTGTCAGAAATGTCACGCTCTAGAATAATGGCAGTTGCCAGCAGGCAGCTCAGCAATACGATTTTGACTACAAAATATGACACTAATACAATTTAAACATGGTACAAAATGCTACAGGGTAAGCAAACTGATTTATGTGTGCTATCAAAAACAAATTTTAGTATTTGGTCAGGACAATATATTTCTTTGTGCAGGAAAATTAGGATTGTTTGGTTTATTTTACAAGACCTTTTGAACAAAAATACTGATTTTTCTTTCAAGCTTAAGCTGCTACAGTTCACTGCCTGTTGATGCTACAGCTCTCCTTACAGATGCCAGCATGTAAGTCTACAAATCTGCTTGGAGTTAAGGATGAGGCTGGGAAGAGCAGGTACCTCCCATTTGCTCCAGCCAGTGGCCCTGGTAGCCACATGTAGACCTACTGGAATCAGCAGAACCTTGCCTGGGCAGAGCTGTCCCATCATGTGAGCTGGTTTCTGCCAAGCCCCAAGTCTATAGTGATTTTCTGTTAGTGGAGATTGAGATTTTAAGATGACACTTGAGTCTCAGTTTGAAAGTATATTTCTGCAGCTTGGGAAACGAGAGGCAAGACCAAGGTGCACCGTTAGGTGTACTTGTAGCTAAAAGAATTGTGGGTTAGTTGTACAGTGCAATGTATGTCGGGGAAACTTGCTGGAGAGGCCAGATTTTCAAAACGGAAGCACTGTGGTGAGGTACAAAAATAAGAGCTAAACATTTCCAAAAATTCAGTCATCTTCAAGGAAGTATGGTTTGGTAGCTACAGCACAAAAAAGTGTGTCCACCTCGTCCATAGACTTGGGATTGGTTTTTTAGAACTATGTTCAATAAGGCAATTTTTTTTGTCAGTGGAGAGGTCCTTGCCCCTTCTTAGCTGCTTTCTTATTCCCATGCTTGCTAGTCAAATACATCAGATTGTGCTAATCTGGGCCTTGGGGGTGCTCGCTGGTTTGGGTTTTTTGGTTTTGTTTTTAACCTGTACCTGGTTTAGGATGTGACACCAATAACAGTTACATCAGCAGAAACGGGGGGATGATAAAGATGGAGCATAAGGAAAGGTGCCTATCTTGAGTGCCTGTGTTGATGAGAGAAATTCTAATGTCAGGCCACACCTTTAATCTCTCAGTTGTCCATTTCATGGAGTCAGGATAATACATGCCTAATTTATTATAAACACAGAGTAAACTAACCATATATGAGTACTGCACAGTTCATTGCAGAGATGACGAGAACAATGGAGAGATTGATTGCCTGATGGTCTCACCACTGTATTGCATTGGTTCTCTCATAGAATGTTTAAGTAGACACACACGTTTAACCAGATGGAATTAAATTAGCGTAAACCCTTCTTGGGAAACAGTGGCATCTTCAGTGCAATGCGTGCTCATCTCTTCATTATTGCTAATGTGCTAGAATGATAAATAAGCAGTACAAACATCCCTTTGTCCTAGCTCTTAAATCTATACAATGACATTTTGTTTTCTAAGCCTTCATGAAGTGTGAAATTTGTATTTTTGCAGTACACCACGATTTGCTTACCTGAAGAATGCTTTTTGAGTGATTGAAGTAGTGAGCATAAGGAGAGAGAAGTGAAAGAGAAAATGAGCTGAATATTGTCCTTATTAAATAGACAAGGCAAACCAGAACCAGAGGCCCATTACAAACAAACCTATAAAACACAGTGGTTTTGTGTTGTTTTTTTTTTTAAGGCAAAACACTTCAAAGATAGTTAAGCATAAAGTTTAAGGCAGCAAAGTCCTTTCCAGATCACAAGATTCTTCATGGTTCATCACATGACTCTTCCTAAAGGACTAGCTCCTTATTTGACATTTGAAAAGAAACTTTCAGAAAAGGAAAAGAGTGGAGATGAAGCACATTTAACATGGGAATTCGAAGATCCAGTTTTAGTGCTGGACATGTTATGTGTATCCATGTATTTACAAACCTATTTTTCCCCACCCACAGATAGTGAAAAATGCCTAAAAAGAAGACTGGTGCTCGTAAGAAAGCTGAGAACCGTCGTGAACGTGAAAAGCAGATAAGGGCTTCAAGAGCCAACATAGATTTAGCCAAACATCCTTGTAATGCTTCAATGGTAAAATAACCTATAGTATTTTATATTACAATACGTGATTTTAAATCATGTAGAACCCGCGATAATACATTGACCGTATTGACTGCCACTAGAAAGCCATTCTTCTTACCATCCTTCCTTTACATTTAAGGTTATGTTTGCATCAGATGTATAATACTTGAATAAAAAGTTTGGTTCCTAATCAGAACTTAATTCAAAGTCCCTGTGGGTCTGTAAATTTTATGTATTTTACCTAGAATAAAAATAATTACCAGGATTTTATTTCTTTTCTTTAGGAATGTGATAAGTGCCAAAGGTAAGTATTTTTCACCCTTCTAAACCAGTAGTTCGATATTAATTGGTTTCAGATATTTTACAGGTCTTTTTTTAATGCTTGCTTGCTTTTTTTTTCTCCCTCCATGTGCCTAGACGGCAGAAGAATAGAGCTTTTTGTTACTTCTGTAACTCTGTTCAAAAATTACCCATTTGTGCACAATGCGGTAAGTAGAAATAATGAAGGAAAACATGCTGTCCTCAGTCCCATTTGTCTTGTTAAACTCTCAGCAGTTCGAATACCTTTGTCTTAAAGTACCTTTGTGATTTTTGGAGCAGGTTCTTTTAAATCTGCTGTGAATATCCTCCTTGAGAGGAGATCTTGCTTGATCATGCACTAGTACATATGCCTCTGATCCCCCGAGGTTTGCAGGTCTGGGTGACGGACTTATCTTCAGTATTTGATCTTCAGAAAAATTTATCTCGCTGCCTTTTAGTATTGAGAACATCTGTCAGGTGTTGTTTCATAACAACAGCAAAGTTAAAGAGGCTCTGACTGCCAGCAGGGTGCCAATAAATACTGCTTTGGGGGGATGATATAATTTCTGATCAGTTTAATATCAATTAAAGCAACAGTACATTATTCGCCTTGCATGGTTTTGTAATGTAATATGCTGCTTATATTATTTGTATGCTAGAGGGCTGATGCTTTGAAATCAGAAGAGAAGGACTCCTAGTGACAGAAACTCGGCTCTGAATCAGCCTAAAGGGGCCTTTTTTTAAAAAAAAAAACAAAACCAAAAAACCAAAAAAAACCCAAACCAAAAACAGCTGCTTGCTTGCAAGGGACATACTTTGAGGTGAATTTTGTTGTTTTACTGTTTCAACACATCCTTGCAGATTTTCAATTTGTCATTAAGCAATTCAACTGTTTTGTAGTTTGACTCTCAGAGCTGATGATGTGCAGCTTCCAATGCTTTTGTTGGGACCTGCAGATACTGAGCATTTTTGGAAGCTAGGCTGTTGGCGTGCAATGGCAGTGTGTCATCCTTCATAAGTTTTCTCCTGTCATCAGGCAGTGAAGTACTAAAAACATGCTGTCTGTCTTAAACTATAATATACATCTGAAGTTGACTCACATGTTTTGAATTTATCTTAATCTCCAGTATGTTTCTGGAGGAAAAGCATTCCTAGTAACAACCAGAAAGTTAAATTGAGTCCCAGGGTTTTCCAAGACAAAGACCATTAGAGCTGTTTGGTACCTAACCAAGCATTGGGGATAGCTCCTATAAAACAACAGCATCTTTCTTAGAGAAGTCCCTCAGCAAGGTAGCTATAACTGCTATAACCCAGTAATACTCCACCTCATGTTGCCCAGCTCCGCCCACCACTGGTCCTTCCTCCAAGTGCCATTTGGTATCTGAGATATGATTTAATGCAAAACTCTGATGATGCTGCATACCGAAATTTAATTACATTTTCAGAGTAAAATTTGGTTTTGTCAGCTCTTGAATGGGTTTGCAGGGAGCACCGTTTTGTTGGTTTCTCTAAGTAGGCAATAACAGAGACACCAAAGGGGTCTATGGCAGGGCAGCCTAAATCAGTTGCAGTAACCTGGGCTAGCTACAAGATTTATTTTTTTTTTTCTTGTATAACTGCATACAGAGCATGGATCTTTCTGGTTTAGCTATTTATGTTAGAGGCAAGGAGTAGGGGAAAGTTGTCACCCTAACTGCTTGCTTCTGTCAGAATGACTTTTAAGTTGCAGACTGTGGCTTTTTCTCCTGCCCCTTGCCTGCATTTAAAAGGAGTTATTTTTTCTAGGAAGTAATCTCTTATATGGTTTTAAAAAAGAAAAAAACCCAAGCACAACCAAAAACCCATGCATCCAAGTACCTGTAAGTAATTAAATCATCAGGTGTGCATTTTTTTTTTTTCCCCAGAGGCCCTCAGCCTTGGAGACAGCACATGCTGCTTTTATAGTGGCACAAAACTAGCAGCAGTTTTAAATGTAACTTTTTAAAGATGTCATTGCTTGAATTTCACCTTAATTTTGGGGTTTTTTTGGTTTGTTTTGGCATTTAAAATTCTTCCCAGTGCCTCGAGTCATATAGCAAGACAACGCATTGCCTCATTATCTGGAGCAGGAGATTTTGGCAGAAAACAGACAATAATTAATTTAACCTAAAGAACATGTGAGGGTGGGTTGCAGGCTGCAGACATTCGTTTGCATTATTTTTACTTAGATTTACAATGAAGTACAGGTATTTGGTTGAAGTACAGTTCTTACATGAAACGTTCATGCTAATTTTTTTTTGTATTTTTATATAATTTTCTTCTGATTGCTTGCCTTTTTTTTTAAATAGGAAAAACCAAATGCATGATGAAGTCTTCAGACTGTGTTATAAAACATGCTGGTGTGTACAGTACTGGCCTAGCAATGGTGGTATGTATACAAAATTACAGCCTTTTTTGCACTATTCTATGCAAATCTTTCTGGGGGGAAAAAACCAAACCAGAATTGAATGATGGCATGTACTATGCCAAGATTTTTTTTCTCATCTTGCTATCACAAACTGATTTTTATTTTATACTGGAAACCCAACTTCTGCATTTTTAGATTCAACTCCTGCAAACTCCGACACATGTCCTGGATGCTAACAGATCTGTGTTGCTGGCAGGCCCTAAGCACATGCATTAACAGCGCTGGAGCATATATGCCCCATAGCTAATCCCCAGTCTTCTGTAAAATCTAGGATCATTGTGTAGAAAACAGTGGACTTTTACTGTCTTCTCAGTATTGTAGAGACCATCAGCATCGCAGTGAGGAATCTGTTCCATGGCATTAGGAGAGAATTTTATTTTATAAAAAAACCAAACCATTTGGGCTCTTAGCAGAGATAGTCATAGCTTCTGGCCTTTTGATTTTTGTTCTTAGAAGGACGAGTTAGTTACTCTGTTCTGGAAAGCGAGGTATGACATGTCATAGCCTCCGGATTAAGTGCTGTATGGACTAAACCTCTGTCCTGTTTCTGCCTCCAGTTGGCACTCAGCTTTTCTCAGCAACACAGCCAGCCTTTCCAGTCTGAAGTTCCTAAACTCATTCCATGTGTTCACTGATGCAGTGTTTTCATCAACAATTAATTTGGATTCATCATTGTTTTCTAAGTTTTGTGTGCATTACATGCACATGGTAGCTCGTTACCTATGGGCTGAGGTGGCTTCTTAAATGCTACAATTGAGGGATAGTTGGTGTGTAGATCTTGTAGTTTAATAAAAATGAAAATTAAAGAGTCTAACTGATTTCTGATGAGTTATTTGATCTTTGGTCCATGCAGAGCTTGTGTTCTAATATAGATGGTTTAAAATCTAAATGAGTGATTTCAGCTGTAAGAATCTAGTGGCATTTCTCAGGTCTTTTTTGAAATCGCATTTTTGCCAGAACATTGTTATCACTTACAGATCTCAGGTTTCAGCTGGAGGGTACAATTGTCATGCATCAGACTTAAGATAGATAGGAACTGTAGAACACAGAAAAGGAGGAAACCAAGTTATTTTGCATTATGTTTAATCCTGCAGAAATGAATATCAAACAAGAACTGTGGAGCAGCTTGATAGGCTTACACATGCAGTTCATACTCTCTCGCTTAACTGGAGTGAACTCACTGAGAGAACGGATACTTGTATACGTTTTGGGTTATAGAATAAGAGTCTCTTTCTAGGTATTGCAAAAGTCTCAAGATGATATCTTTCTGTAATTGCAGGGTGCAATCTGTGATTTCTGTGAAGCTTGGGTGTGTCATGGGAGGAAGTGTCTCAGCACACATGCGTGTATCTGCCCTCTCGCAGATGCAGAATGTATTGAGTGCGAAAGAAGTGTCTGGGACCACGGTAGGTTGCTCATGCTTAAAAATAAGAAAATCTCAATGCTACTTTTCTCCTCACATTGCTTAAATTATTGTACTTATATCCGTAACATAGTTTTTTTAATCTTCACTGATTAGTCCTTGCAGTAAGTTTGTTCAAAGCAAGGCATTCTCCCCATTTTCAAAATACACCTTATGCAGTGGGGAATGTAAACAACCTGCTCAAGATCGTACAGTGCTCAACTCAGGGGTGGTTATGTAATCTAAAGTATTAACTGTCCTATCAGCTGAGTGCGTAACATAATTAAGCACTGCATCAGATTGTCAACATGCAATTTTCTGCCGTTCCCACTCCCTTCGTCTGTGCTAGTACAGGTATTTGGCTTCCCAGTTGCTTAGCAAACCATGCTGATCTCTGTTTGTGGAATCCTTTAAAGTGTTTACTTCAGGCATGCATCAGAGGTGAGGGTGTGGGAGGGAAGGAGACTGGATGAGAGAGACTGTGATCTGATTTAGAAAATGCTTAATGCCATATTACAATTAAAATAAAGGAAAGGACTAGAAGTAATACTTGCTTTGTATTTATGCTGTCTTTTATTGTAGGATACATGGTGTTTTTCAGTGTAATAATGGATGGCAGTGTCTAATTTAGGACTTTGTTGAAGCATTTGTGACAGAAGGGAGAACTCGTCTTCAGTCAAAACGACTGCCTAAATTGTTTGCAGAGCAGAACTTGATGCCTATGCCCATTGATGATTCTTTTGCCTTCATAAATCTTTTAGGAGGCAGAATATTCGCCTGCTCTTTTTGCCACAATTTCCTCTGTGAAGATGATCAGTTTGAACATCAAGCCAGCTGCCAAGTTTTGGAAGCAGAGACATTTAAATGTAAGTTCACAGTCCCTTTCACCACAGCTAAGCAGACTCTCCAGTTGCTTCCTCTGTGTTCCAGAATACTCTCCATCACCTTTTCCAAATAGCTTTTGCCACCAGAGGAGGAAAGAGCTTGTTTCTTATGTGCTCGCTCTTGAGATCCAGTTATCTAGACTAGAGCTTTTGTCTCTGACCTTCCTCCACGCCACATTGGACATGGCAGTTGTTTCCCTGCCTGGCTTTCATAGGCCTCCCATGGGAAGCTGCTTTTGCAGGAACCAGAAGTCTCTAAAGTTGCAGTTTTGGGAGCAGCCAGGACAACAGCAAAACTGCTGGAACTGCTGATGCTGCTTTTTTACTCCATAAAGCTTTGCAGGCAAGAAAGAGCACTCTTCCAGTCTTATGACCAGTCTATTTCTAGATACCTGTTCCTCATGGAAAACAGCTGCCCTAAATAATACCACCTGTGTTACGCTGGCTAAGCTTTCCCAGGTTGCTGTGGATGGCTTGTATGTGGGTGAAGGGTTAGCATCTGTTGATTTTGCAAAAGCAGCAACTCCTGAGAAAGACTGACTCAGGAAGTAGTCATTGTCTGATTCAGTGAGACAGGGTGGGCACAGAAGAAAGTAACAAAAATAGTGTTCATCCAGAGCATGAACTCAGTGTTAGTTTCTTCACTGACTAGTGAACTGTGGACATGTGTGTCAATAATGTATTCAATGTTGACACATTTCCACTTTTACTAAGTAAGCAACAGGTAGCTGAAGACTTTATGTCCTTTTGAACTGTAATTAATTTTGTGGACAAAACCAAAACTGGTATTTGTAAGAGGACATGATGGCCTTGCCTGATTTTGCTAGTCCACTACTCATCTCTGGCTGAAACAGAAAAACTTCAGGAGAAGTTAAAAAAAAAAAAAAGCAAACCTAAACCACAAACTATTCATGTTTGAAATAACTAATCTTTTGTAGTATTTCTTTTGTACCCACCATTAACTACTATTTTGTTTATCCCATGAGACAAGCATTTGTCCCTTCCAAAACTTGTATGCGTGTATTTTGACTGTTACAATATTTTCAATCCTAGTTATAGAAATTCAAGGTGTTCTTTATGATCTATAAGACTGTTTTCTTCAGAACTGACTAATCTCTTGTCCTAATTGATTTCTCTCAGTTTAGAATATTTGTTGATTTCAATGTTATAGCCTGTGTCTTTAGAAATCTCTTATCCTTTTTTTTTTCCCCAGCCTGCTATTTTCTAAGCCTTGATTAGCTTCCCTTGATGTATTCTGCCAGAATATCTTCCTGCATAGCAATATTGAAGCAGCAACAGCTGTTCCACAAGAATGTTTTTTCAGTGATTGTTCGAAGCTTTTAATTCACAGATGCGATGTCACACCCTGAATAGAGAAATTACTTTTTTTGAGGGTTTTCACTGTGTTCAATGTTTCATGGCACAGTGCAGTCTTGGTAGAGAGGCAGGATTTTTGTCAGTGTGTGGTAACAAGGTTATAAAACCTAAACTTTTAAAGAATATGTGAACTTTAAATGCAGTCATGCAATTGCAGTCTGAATCCCATTCTAGCTGTGAAAAAGGTTCTGTTACTTTCCATTGCTATTTGAGAGAAGTTTTTTAAAGCGCAGATACTCCAGAAATGTTTGAGTATATATGCATTAGTATTTCAATTGCATCTTTAAATATATGACAGAGCGCTAAATCCTGTGGCTGTCTGGCTCATGTGGAGAACTCATATTTATTACTTCAAATTCAAAAACTTCGTTGTATCAGGGGTAAGGCAAGGTGGAAGAGAACGAGTACTTGCACAGAGACTGATAAAATACATATTATTGCTTCTTCATCCAGCTTTGTGTCGCTGCCAGTTCCTGTGTGGTTGCCTTTAGTATACTCCCTCTAGTGGAGTAAAGAAACTAGTTTGAAGCTTCAAAAAGAGTTAGATTTTGAGCACCGATTCTGCTCTTTACAGTTCATGTGCCAGTTATAATTCTTTGGCACAGTTAGATTTTCATACAAAGGTGTGTGCAATAAAATACATTTCCAGAGGACATGACAGAAAATACAGAACAAAACAACTGTTCTAGGTTTGGAAGTTTGCAAGCTTCAAGTGTTCTCACATCCCATTTAAGTGAAATAAAGGTATTAGAGGCTGCCATGGCATTGTTTAAAGTGACTGTAAAATGCTAGTGCTCCATCTTTTGACATTGTGAGAAAAGGAGAAGCAAGATGATCACTTAATACCACACTGGTTCTGAAATTTCTGTTTTTAAAAGTTTGGGAACTCAAGAAATAGTTAAACTTTTTCCCCTCTTCAACTTTTACTTTTTGTGTCAAATTACGTTACTGCAATGAGGCTTAGACTTGGAAAAAATCTAGTAAAATGGTACCGTATGGTTAAATGATTGATTCATGTTACCAAAGTACAGTCGTGTCAGGGAATTAAAAATAAATGCTTCAATTACATCATTACATACAAGGTTTTGAAAACATCACAGATTTGCAGTTTCCGAGTACTGAATTTTGCATATTGATTTTCTCCACCAGGTGTTTCCTGTAACAGGCTTGGACAGCATTCATGTCTGCGTTGTAAGGTAAAGAGTAAAGACAGTTGCAAGTAATTATGGTTTTACACTTGTCCTCCTTAGCCTCCAAAGCTGGTATCAAGCTTTGTTCTGTATTCCTCTACATTATTAAAAAAATATTTGTACTTTTTATTCGTTTCTGAAGCCTGAAGGCAGACTTATAGGGGACAAAGTGCTTTTGTCTGTGCTTGCCTGTTAACCACAAGCCAGTGTTATGCATCCTTATGCCAGGTGAGCTGATCTTCACTTTGTTTAGCCCTATGTGTTTTAATTGGGCCTTTTCAAGGAAAACAAAACAAAACAACCCAAATCCTTGGTCTTGAACAGAATCCAAGGCTATGGAATATGTTTTGATCCAGCATAGAGCTAAGAAAATTTAAAAAGTTCTTTTTTTTTTATATTAAAAAACCAGTCAAGTGATGATCCGGCCAGAAAACACTGCAGCCTGGATCCAATAGACTTAATCTCCACAGCTAATCCAGTTTTACACACGCGTAGGCTAATTTGTTGATGTCAGGCTTGTGGTTTTACACACTCAGAAGTAATTTTGTATCAGAAGTTCCACCTGCTTCATCATCAGCATTGCCCAGATTTCTCCAGGTGCTGGTTCATTGCCTACTCTTACTCTTTTTACCCTCCATATGTTTCTCTGCAGTCTCCCATAGCATCAATTTCATATTCCAAATTGTTCCTTTGTGCAGATATCTTTACTGGCACCCTGGTGCTCAACATGTAAATCTCAATCTGTAATTATTGCCTTCAGGTCACTGCATTAGTTATGTTCTGGCATACATCTCTGATTGTCTTTTGTTTAAGCTTGTCAACATAAACCAAAGTTTGCCAGGCTCCCTGTGCGCAGCGCTATAGTCCAGTCCTTGAGCACATTACCTTCTCTACTTGTTTATCAGCACTTCCATCCAGCCTCTTCCCCAGGAAGCCACGAAACTATGTTCAACGCAGAAGTGTTTGCTCTGTGCACAGACTCCAGTTCCACTGCAGATAGAACTCATTAAATTCTAATCCCAACAAGAAAATCCTGCTGCTGTTAGATGCCTTTTTGCTTGCTTCTTGCTGAAGAGTATGTTTCTATGATAAAAACGTTTAGTCTTTTTATTCTCCGTCCACCCTATAGGCTTGTTTTTGTGACGATCATGTGCGAAGTAAGGTTTTCAAGCAGGAAAAAGGAAAAGAGCCTCCCTGCCCTAAATGTGGCCATGAAACTCAGCAGACAAAGGATCTGAGCATGTCAAGTAAGCCTGCTTCTCTAGCTAACAAACTACACAAGTACTATTGGTGACTACTTTTCTGCATAGGAACACTGAGTAAAGTCCAATTACTTTCAACTATTTTGCAAAGCTCTGCTGCATTTGTTTTGGGAAAAACTTCTTGTTTCTTAGTTCTAGAATTGAGCAGTCTCTCGATTGATTCCAACATAGTGAAAGCTTTTGTTTAGTTTGAGATTTTAGTTATGGAAAAATTGAAAAAAAAAAAATCACTGCTTAAGCCTTTATTTCATCTGCAAGAAGCTGGTTAATTTCAAAGTGCTATTTGATGACACGTATACAATCTACCTCAGCCACTCTTGAATACAATACATGTTTTGTCTATGAAACACATGCAATTACAGCTCTTCTTGGCTAGAGTACCAAAGGTTTATCCTAAAACCTAAGTCACACTCTGGGGGCAGTTACTGTTTATACAGACTTGCCTGCAGAGGGACAGACTGTGTGTAGCAGAAAGATTCAGTCAGAGTAAGGATTAAATCTGAAAGTGTCAGATTTAGAAAAAGGCTGTCTAACATTGCATGCTCTTTGCTGAGTAGAGAGAAAGGATGGAAGTGAAACGTCAGATGCTCTGCTCAAATTGCTGTTGAGGGGTGCGAACATGATGATTTTTCTCTGCCTGCAGCACGTTCTTTGAAATTTGGCCGACAGACTGGAGGTGAAGATGCCGATGGAGCTTCTGGTTACGATGCCTACTGGAAGAGCCTCTCCTCCAGCAAGGCTGGAGATGCAGGTGACCGTGAGGATGAATATGATGAATATGAAGCAGAAGATGACGATGAAGATGACAATGATGAGGGAGGGAAGGATTCCGATACTGAGACCACAGATGTATTCAGCAATTTGAATTTAGGAAGGACCTATGCTAGTGGGTATGCACATTATGAGGAACCAGAAGATTAAGCTTAGTATGCTGGCAGGCTAAAAACGCTTGAAAGGAGCCGAGCAGTGCTTCACTTGAGTTGCCTATGTGCCAGTAGGATAGCTCTATCAGGTACTTACATATCAAAGTTAGAGAGTAAAGAGTGTGGGACTTCTGCAGTAACTCCAGGTGAGATTTTTTTTTTTTTGTATAAACCAACATTGGGTTTGTGGCTGGGGGAGAAAACATGAATGTTTTTATTCCCCTAAGCAACCAAAGTAGTTTTGTCCTTGAGTTACTGAGTATAATGGTTCAAGGCCATTTTCCCCGTATCAATACAGGAATTTGGGAGGGCTGTACATCTTGTTTCCATTTGCGCATCAGAAATTAAGTTATTTTTTACAATAATTTTGTTAGCTGATTTCATAAAATTAATGTAGTGGTGGGTTGGTGACTGCATTCTTTTTGTTCTGCACAATAAAAGTCAACTGCATTCTCTAATGAATTGTCATAAATATCGATCTCCCTTGAATAGCTGGAAAACAGGTTGTATAAAAAGTGTAAATTGACAGTAAAATAACTTCCTTGTTTACGCAGGTAAGGTAGATCAATGTGCACTCTGTGCACTTGAACATTACCTTTCCAGCATTTTTAGTGTTAGATATTAATCAATGGGGCTATATGCAGTCATTACAAGTGCACCCCAGATAATCAAAAATTCTGTTGCAATAAAAATGTTGGTGTATCCTCTCTGCCACTAAAATCTATAATATAATTTTTCATTAGATCAAAAGGAGACTGGTTTCTTCTGTGCCAAA